AGAACAGCAAACAATTTTATCAGATATCTGTAGAAAGATGTGTAATTCAGCATTTCACCTATCACAACAAAACCTTACCAAAACATATATATAATGACAAAATCAAATTATTATAAATAGTGTTTGTAACCTTATATCAGTTCATATTAAGCATTCAGTACTTGGTTGGCCCTCCTTACACTCTAATAGCTTTCGCAAGGTGACGTGGCGTGCTGTCGATGAGGATATTGATGTAATCCACCATGATTTTATCCCAATTTGTCACTAGAAAGCGCTGCAACTCAGCTACAGTAGCTGGTTTAGGATCGTGGTTATCAATTTTCCGACTCATTTCTGCTCAACAGTTCTCAGTGAGATTACACATCTCGACCAGGAGGACGTTACAAGATCGCCATGACCCTGTACAATACCTTCACTATGGGCAGTAGTATTGTCATCCTGGAACACAAAATTATTGCTAAACCTTGCCCTAACATATGGCAGAATATCGTCTCCATGTGATTCTCGTAGGAGGCGCCGTTGACGTTTTCTGAAGGATATGAAGAGCAATTTTTCCACCATGATGAATAGCTGCCCAAACAGGTACTGCACCACCTTTTGTGTGTTCCCTGTTGGAAAGACAGATTTCCCTCATCTGCTCTCCAGGCAAAAGACGAACATGAATTCTATCACCAGCTTTAATAATCCGGAAACAGAACTCATCTGAAAAGATGGCATGTCGCCAGTGCTAACTGTAAGTTGACCTGCTGTCTTGCCCAAGTAACACGGTGACGGCGGTGAATTCTGGTTAATATCAGTTTGCAGATAGCCCTTCTTACAAAATAACCTTGTTTGATCAGTCTCCTATTCACTGTTGTTCTGGATACCCTGGAATGAATGTGTTCATGCCATTCCTGTCGTGAGGTGTTTATTTCGACCTTGACATATTAGCCTGATTAAAACACTGTCATCTCGGGCAGTAGTTTATCAGCGTCTACAAGTAGGCTTTCCTGTAGCCAGATGACGTTTCAGGATTCTGGATACAGTACAGTTGGGGTATTCTTCTTTTCTGGCAATGTCCATTTGCTTCATTCTATTTCTGGCCAGTCGAAAAATTTGACGCCCTATAATTTCTGGCACGTGACGAGGCATGACTACATCAAGTAGAGAGAAATTTCCTGAACAAAGCGTCGGATCTGTTTCGAAAACGATTATACCAAATGCACACTCTTTTATACACAACAGTTGTGTATGTGTGTTGAGACGAACAAATGCTCAAAACAACTTATACAGACCAGAATAATAACTCCTATATGTTGGTCTGATCATATACCGCCTTCTCTGTCACTACTCGGGCATTTACTCAATAACTACTCAATGCATATAGACAATAACATTAATATAGAACATTATGGAAATACTTTGGCCACGACTGTATTACTATATCTTAAATCAGAAGACGTTCAATTGCCCAATGCACATAATCCTTTTTAAAAGCAGTCTTCTTATCAACATAGCGTAACATACGTACACATTTTAAAAGGTATTCTATATCCAAATTGACTCAACTTACGTTAATGATATTTTCAAATAACTAATATCCTTGCAAAAATTAATATTGAGATTCAAATTACCCTTTTGTTATGGTTACATGCGAGAGGAGTTTTTAGCATTGACCCAAGCACAGGTCATTCTCCCTCCAATTATGGAGTTGTAGCACGTTTGTCAGTCCACAGTCCAGGGTAGCGTGGTGTTGTTTCTAATCTCGAACAACCGACCACATAGAGACAATCGGCTGGGAACAATTTGATGCTGAATTTTATATATGTTATGCAGTTACTTATTGATTAATTTTGATGCTATTTAATTATTTATTGTTATTTATATTTTTTATTACAACTTCCAAATGTAAATAAGAGAGGATTGCTTGTTTTTAACATAGAGAAGTGGAGGTTTGTTTGTAAAAAAATGTTTTTAATGCTAATGCAAAGCCACACTGAGCCATTTCTGTGTCCACCGCTCGGAATCTAACCCCGGATTTTAGTACTATAACTCCCTAGACTTATCGCTGTCCCACAGGGGAACAGAAATGGAGGTCTAGACTGTTAATCGCTGCACGAAACTATAGCAACAAGGCAAAGAAATGCAAGCCAAGTCTACCATCAACAACCTCGTATACAAATGTACAGACTAAGCAAATTAATCCAAGTTAGCTACTGTATTCTCAGAATGACTCGAACTAATTAGAACAGGTTTACGAAATTAGGAAGAAGAAGAACACTTTTATTTATAGCCATTGAGAACAAAATCTATAAAAACTAAGTAAGCCAGATGCTTCTTATTTTGTATTTTAAAGTAATATTATTACAAACACATCTTTTACACAACTTGCATATTAGAAATAAACCCGAGCAGTATCCTCAGATGTTAAATGTACATAAAGAATACTACTCTGCCAAGGAACTGCCTTTCAGTTTGGGCCTTGTTTTCAGTTGGCAACTGATAATGTAAGAAAACCCTGCATATTTAACACCTTTTTTGTAGTTGATCTGCTAGCAAATGGGGAACAAGAAATGTACAAAGTTAAAACATTTGGTTGGAAAAAACAAACCTACAACTTAGGATTCAGAAAGGTGTAGGCATGAGCTGAAAAGTATACATAGCTTCCAATAAACTGCGATGACTTGGCCTAATAATTCTTTTTCTGCCTGTCTGTTGAAATTTACGAATGATTTTAAATGTATAATCGAGTTTTCTGTTTTTACATGCCTATTTTATCATATATAAATGTTCATACTACTAATTTCACTACTAATTTACTGCGTTCATTCGTATGAAGTTCTATTTTTAATCAAACACTAGTGACACCTACTGCCGTTTTGCCTGCTTTTTATATAAAAGGATTGCCATCACTTTAATCACTTTATTTTGTTCAGTCATGAACATTTTAAACACTGGGAATGGATAGCTAACAATACATTAGGAGAGAAGCCCATCTCACGACTTAGGTTTTTAGGAGTTACTCCGTGCCATGACTGATATTATTGGGAGTTACTCCGTGTTGTGACTTACATTACTAGGAGCAAATTTGTGTAATGACTAAGTTTATCATAAATTATTTACTGTCATAAATGAGGCTATTAGGACGTATCCTTGTCATTACTGAAGTTACTTGGATTTGTTCGATATCGAAATTGATATTATTAAGAGTTACTCGATGCCATGA